CTTTGGGACAGTTGTAGTTCAGTGTGTCAGCAGCTGCGAGTGTTGCAGCTGGAGCCATGCAATTAGTTTTCCTTGTGCTATCCCTCAGTGCTCCTCCCATTCTTGCTTTGACAGCTCAGTACCGGCTGTAGTAGTACTAGCTAGTACTAGCTAGTCTCTGACAAGCTATTGCCCGCAAACTGCATGGAAGTTCCCAGAACGCCTGCAATAATATTTAACTGCTCCTTACTCTTTGTGCAGCACAAAAGAGAGCTCCCAAAGCAAGAATTAACTCCTCGATGCTCTGCATGCAGCCACCTTCCTCACCATGCATGCACGTCCCTGTCCTTAGGGTAGGAAATAATGGCCAAAGAGTCAGCGAAATGATGCTATTCAGCATCCTGAGTTTCCATAGTGAAATTATTTTAGAAATAAACAAGTGTCTGGTTTTCAGTGGTGTGCCTTCCCTGGAGTCACTGGAGTTCTCTTGGCAGAGAAGTTGGCCTCCCAGGAAGAGGATGTACCTCTAGCTAGCCGTGTTAGCTAGCTAGTAACAGGAGGCAAGGAAGTAATAATCTTACACAGTGCTTTGTCCACTGAGGGGTCTTTTGCACCTTCTTGTGCGGCAGCCTCAGGTAGGGGGACCCTTTGGTCTTATCCTGAATGGCAATTTTTGTACTCGTAAGAGAGTGTGTTGCTAGAGCCAAGGATGTTTGTGTGTGCAGGGACACTTGGACTTATCAAGGTTTGCTTTGGAGCATGGAGATTGGACACAGCTATAATATAACACTGTTTCTCACACACCTGTGTGTCAGGAGAAGACTATGTTAGTTACAGAAATCTCACACCTCAAAAAAAGAAAAAGTACCTGCTGCTTTATGACACTTCACAGCAACCTGAGGCCCCTTGCAGAGCAGGCTGTACGTGTTGAGAGCAATTCACTGCTGAATCAAAGATGCTAAAGAATATTCTCCAGGCTGCATCCTGTGCTGGTTTATGGGAAGTTTGAGAGTATTCTGCAAGAAGGAGGTGATGAGATGAGTTTTATAAGCGTGGGTGCAGTAGGAAGTACCCCACTGTGGGACAAATCTTTGGCTGTGTTATGTGTGGTGAGTCACACCTGCATGCGGTGTTTAGGGGCAGCTCTGGCAGCCACACCACAGGGAGCATCTGAGTTATACAGAGCAGTCATGACACTTTTCCTTACAGAGACTTCTAAACTGTAGTACGCAAGTGTCTGTCAAGAAGCCGAACACCTCCCCCTGCTTGTATGTACAGCTGGGGGCGGTGGTTGCTGCTGCTTGGTGAGCAAAGGAAACTGGCAACCCCTGGTCTGCAGCACAAACCAGAGCCGTGCTGTAATCAGGTCTGTTGAGTTTTGATAGTGCAGACACATTTTAAACCTCTAAAGTGCATGAGAAAGGACAGTTGTGCACCTCCTGGCGTTCAGGATACCGTGCAGGACACAGTGCCTGGGTGTGTGCAGGTGTCCATAACTGGTTGGGGACCTGTCAGCCAGAGAGCTGTAACTACCTGAAGGAGCAGCTGCTTGGCAAGCTCCCTGTCTGCATTGGTGCTCTCACCACTACTCTCAGGAGACCCTCCTTCTAGATCTGGTGCCTATTCTGGTGACCACAGTGCAAAACACAACAGAGCTGGTGTGAACCTAGCAGTTGGCCTTCCAGGTGGTTCTCAATGCGCACAGTGTGTAAGCGTGGGATGGGTTTACATCCTTGTCAGTGACCATGATTGACCCACGGCTGCCTTCTGCTGAGCAGACTTGGGCCTGCTCTTTTGCCCAGCTGCGCTTGGGCATATGTGGCTGATCTCCCTGTGCAAGGCTGTGCTGGGTTGTTACCCGTGGGCTGGTGGCAACGCTTTTCTCATTGAGGCAATGTGGATAACTGCCCAGGTCTTCCTAGAGTGCGCTAACAGCTTAGGCATGATCAGGCAGTTGTCAACGTGCAAACGTGGCTGATGAATTTTTGTGTTGTGTAAAAAGCTGCTTGTATAGCCATGTCAGAGTAGCGTGTTGGGCTTCTGTTACAAAACCATAATTGCATTTCTGTTGTAGATGTAGGCTTGGCAAAATTGGGGCAGGAATTATTCCATTGATTACCCGATGGGACCTGTTGAACGAGGCTGTTCCCACACTCCCTCCAACCCAAAGACCAAACCTGTTCTTGTACAAAATAGGTTTTTGTGTGCGTAGTTACTGTTTCTTAATGTGTTTCTGTCCTGGTGTGGGTCCCAGTAGTGCAGCTTGGAGCTCACGATGCTGGAGCAGGAAGCCTCGTTTTTCATGTGCGGTAAGATTTAGGCTGTGTACACAATCAGGAGTTTAATACAAAACAGCAACAAAACAATTCCTGCTAGTAACTTCCAGCTCATGTCACAGGTGTGGTGGGAGCTGTTGCTGGTGACTTTATCATTGTGTTAGTGAAGCTTTGTGAAAAGCAGCTTTATTCATTGTAGTGGCAAGGATAGGACCAGCCTCGGGAAGCCGGCTGTCCTCTGAATCCCACTGCAGCTGAATCAGCGTGATGTTTGGTACTGCCGCTAGTGTGGAAGAGATCTCAGTGTCTAGATGTGTATGTGTCAGGAATGTGGGCTGAGGCACAGATTGTGTTCCTCACCTCAGAACTTGTATTGGCAGGACAAACACCAGCCTGAGCAGACATGGCTGTGGCAGATGAGGGCCTGTACTCAGTGCAGGGCCAAATTTATCATCAGATTTTAGGTTCCAGGCTCCTGCTCAGATGAGAATTATCTTTTAAATATAACTGTCTGATCGAGCTGTGTGTATGTTTCACCAGAGCTTGTATTAAACATGATTAAAAGGAAAGAAAAGTAAAATGCAGAGGTGGAATGAGTATTTGGGGATTGCACAACGAATATGAAACCATATGGAGGAGACACATCATGGCCTCACCTTTGGGCTGCTGAGCCTTTGGATTTTGTTAGCATCGCCCTCATCCTGAAGGCACCCTTTTCCGGCACGGTGCGAGTGGCAGAGTCGCTGCCAAAGGAGGTGACATGGGTAATTGCTGGGGTGTGTGGGGGGGGAGAAGCGCTTCCTCTGCCAAACAAGCATGACTCTGTGCTCTCCGGTGCCTTGTCAAGGTCCCCTGGGCCCAGGGTGAGATGGCAGCAGTGTAACCATGGCAGTGTTTGTCTCCGGGATAGTCACTGGTTTAATGACTCATCCCGGAGAATGTGATCACGTGTGCAGCCTCCCTGCTTCCCTTTGCCCTATTTCATCCAATCTTTTGATCTAGTTATGTAACCAGGAGTCAAGAGGGGTGGGGGGGAGGAAACAGTGCTGAAGAATTGCAGGTAATATGACCAAAATGTGTCTGTAGCTCAAATAGCAGAGCTGTTGTCTGGGAAGTCTGGGAAACTGGGTTTATTCCCAGCACAGTTCTCTGTCTGCAAGTGAATGCAATGCGTGATGTCTGAGCTTGTAAGTTTAAGGAGACATGGTAGGCTGTGGTAGGACAACTGCCGTGACTGTAACAGCAAACAGCTTTGCCATTATCTTCATGTGCAACGTAACGCTTTCCTGCATTCATCATGAGCTCTGTCTCATCACATACGTTGTGGATACCTGTTTTTCTAGTATGTGTAAGACTTGCTGGGACTGATGTTCACAGAAATGTTTGAGCTGCTCTGCTGGTATTGGCTGATGGTGGGCTGAGGCCCAAAGTCCTAAATGGATTCTGATACAGGCTGTGAGCAAATGCTGGGGCAGGTCTGGTGGGATGTCTAGAGAGAAAGCTTACAAAGTTGGTGCTTTTGACCAAGGTGTAAATCTAGTCCTTGTCATCTCAATTTTAAGAGGTGGTATTGGTGGTAAGGTTAATTTAATAGGCATATTAACATGGCAGCTGTACAGATGCCTGTACATGCAACGTGCTGTACTGAAGCATCCTTCATTTAAGCTCCCAGCTTTTTGAGAAAGGATGTTCTTTGTCTCCAGATCCCATGGAGTCACAATGTGGTGCTTGTTGGTTCTGTATTACTTCATCTGCCACATTCTTCTATGCTGATGTCTTCTTTCCTTCTTTCCTTCAAAGTTCTGTCTAAGTGTCATTTCAGTTCAGTCATTAGCTCAGATACACAGTATAAGGAAGAAAGCTGATTATGAGATGAGGTTCAGGGTATCTCTTTGCCTGACACAAGGGGACAAGATGCTTCAAAGAATCTATTACAAGGCTTGTCAGAAACAGTTTACTTCAAGGGAAGCTTTTGAACAGAAACATTTCTTTTCTGTGCTGTGCAAGCGTTAGCTTGGTCACTGGCAGCCTGTTGAAGAGCAAAATGTCACACAGAACAAGGTGTCATTTCACATCATGCTTTCAGTCTGAAATCAGCCATTAATGCAAGTCTGAAAATAGGAAAATGTAGAGAAAAAGGAGTGCATGTGGTTTATAATGTGGAAATAGTATTGCCACTTACTTTTTGTTTTTAAAAAAGCTTGCCAGAAGTTTCCATTTAAATGATGAGAGTGGAGCCTGGTGATAAAACCACTGAGCTGCCTGCTAAGCCATGACCCAGTGTTTGAACCAGATAACCTCTTGCATGGTATGTTCTATTAACTTGGAAGATGGTTACACAGGTGTTGTATAAACGGAAATTTCTGCCTCACTTGAATGTTGTGGAACAAAAAGATTTCAGTTCCTTGTTTTAATTGGAGCTCATTGGGCCCCTTTAGGAAAACAGGCCCTTAGGGACAGCAAGTGCTCTATGTGGACTGAAATAATTTTGCCTTGTTTTCTTGTCAGGGGACTTTTGGGCTGTGTTAAGTGGTGTTAGTCTTGACTTTCACTGGAAATGGACCCTTCGCTGTCAAACTTTTTAACACTCTTTGAGTGGCACTGTTGGAAAGGACCCCAGTTTTGACCCTCAGAGAAACATGCTTGCAAACAAGTGAGAATAGGGGTTGGTGGCTGATGAATGCTTGTGTAAAAGCCAGCTGCCAGCCTGGTTGTTCTCATGTTATTACCTCTTTGTCTTTTCAGACCAACCCCAGGAAGCCGTGTTCAGCGGTGACCATGTTGAACAGGCGGAGGATGGAGAATGGCAGCGCTCTACTTCAACTACCTCATCTCAGAGTGAGCGGGCAGAGCGACTCTTGCAGAACCAGCACAAGAGCCTGGCCTCTGAGGACACCAAAAAGAAGAGGGCTCAGAAACCGTCTCACATGCGGAGGAACATAAGGTAAGCAGCAGCAGGACAGAAAGAGCTGGGATCCTATATAGCCTTTTGGGTAAAAACAAAATCACTGGACTTTGCTTCTGAGCTACATTTTGCCACTGCTGGCAAACCAGATGGCTTTTCTTTTCCAAAACCTTAGGATTTCACCAGTGGGAGTAGTATGATCTCAGAGTGGAGTGCTGCATGTGGGTGCAGACTTGTTTGGTATTTCAGAAAAGCGAGTATTTGGTTATGGAATATATTATGAACATTGGGTACTTGCTGCTGGCTTTTAAGACATGTTGTTGAAAACCAGCACCACCATTAAATAAATATCCAGTTTCAGATATCTGCTGATGGATCCTGTTGCAAACAGCCTGAAATATAGTCCTTCCCTGTACTATCCTGGGTACTTGTTGGCAGGAGTGCTGATGCTGTGACTGGTGACTGAAATGTTGGAAATCAATTTCACCTGAATTTTATAAAGCACTAATTGTTCGATTGTGTAAGTCACCACATATATTCTGGGACAGGTTGTGAGGTGGTCATTTGTTATGAAATTTTGTTCAAGGGGATCTAAAATGCTCAGAGGAGTCATAATGGAGCAGGAACTCCTGTGGCAGCAAGTGGCTCTTTTGCCGTGTGTGTAACGTGCTGGTGGTCTTTGGTTCATATTTAAGCTTGTGCAGATGGATTTTCTTAAAGCTGAAGGAACGAGCGTTGAGTACGCCGTGGAAATTGAGACTTCATTAGGATGAAGGAGATGTCCCTGCAGTGGCGGACAGGGGTTGGGTGGATTTAAAGGCTAGTATGAGGGACTAGATTTTACCTCTGCTTGTACTGCACCTCTCCTCTGGCAAAAGAGCCTTCGTTTCCAGGGCTGCACATGTGAAACTGAAGCGGAGTAAAATAAACTTCTGGAGTATTGAAAGTTACCTGTAAAAGTAAGGTGCTTTGACAGCATCCTTTGAAACAGTTGTTAAAGCCCTTAACAGGTTCCTGAAAAGACTATGTCAGAGGAGAATCAGGGGTATGACTTTTTGTGGAGGAATTGATGCCTTTCTTCCCATATATCTTCTTTGTGTGACTTTGTGCATTTTCTGTTTATAAACAGAAAATAGCAATAAATAACATCCTTTCAGATAGAAGAAGTAGTCTATGATAACCTAGACTAAGTATATACTTATCCACTCACATCTTTTCTCTTTTCATTATTTTGCTTCTGTCAAACTTTTTTTCTTTTCTGTGAGTAATAGTAGCATTATCTGTAGTTGGGAAGGACAGTCTTGAAACAGCTGTAGAATTTGTCTATAGCTTCTGGCGATGATGTTTCTAGTCTGTGTAGCTGACAGACTACCTGGAGCTTGTCAGTCATCTTTTGAGCCATCTGTACAGCCATTCAGGTTTTTGGAAGAAACTGAGTGTAACCAAATCATGTTTCTCTGTTTGCTCCTGTGTTCAGAAAGCTGTTGCGTGAGGACCAACTGGAAGCCGTGACAAAAGCAGCCCAGCAGGAAGAGTTGGAGAGAAGGAAACGGCTAGAGCAGCAGCGGGAGCACTATCCCAACCGTACCCCTAGATTTTCTTCCTGGTAAGCAGTGGGAGATGCCACCTGAAGCAAGATTTTTTTTAAGGATAGAAGCTGAATGAAGAATGTAGTGCATGCTTGTCCATGAGAGGACAAGGGGTAATGGTTTTAAACTAAAAGAAGGTAGATTCAGATTAGATATAAGGGGAAAATTTTTTTACAATGAGGGAGGTGAAACACTGGCACAGGTTGCCCAGAGAGGTGGTAGATGCCCCATCCCTGGAAACATTCAAGGTCAGATTGGATGGGGCTCTGAGCAACCTGATCTAGCTGGAGATGACCCTGCTCATTGCAGGGGGGTTGGACTAGATGACCTTTGGAGGTCCCTTCCAACCCAAACTGTTCTATGATTCTATGTTGCACTTGAAAGTCCAAGTGTAAACTGTTGAAATGACAGTTCCGAACCACTCGTTGGTTCGGTGTAGTCAGTTCCACTTCTGAGCTAGTTCTGAATCAAGGTGCTGTGGCTGCATGGTGAAAGGTGCCAGGTAACTTTTGTTGAAGATATTGTGACAAGTTAATTGTGTGTAAGCAGGGTGGTTGAACTGGTCTCTCTTATCTTTCCAACTGGTATGGAAGCTTAAACAACTGGACTTGACAGAAATGCCATGTCCTTGGTCCAGATCATATTTGTACTGTGAGTGGTCTGGTAATGCATGGGTCTGGTACTAGGGATAGTGAACGATAGAGTGGGTGCACGTATATTCATGATGTAACCTTGTCCTTTCTTGCATGTTTCAGCAAGCAGTGACATAGCAGGCAGTATAAATGGTGAATATGTCATCTTGCATTGTCTTCTAACATGGATGATTTCAGTGATCTAGTTTATAGCGCAGCCTCTCAGACTGGTGTAAAGGGCAGAGAAGTGCAGTTGGAAGTTGTGTCGGGGGTAAGGAGTTCTTGAGTTGACTTTACCTCTTGAGAAAATGTATATTCTCCCTTAAGTGCAAGTGTTCAAGACGTTTTTACATGGGGGGAAGGAATAAGAGCTGTTTAAAACACTTCAACTGTTGTGGAGTCGGTTGCAGCCCCAGCAGAGCATCGTTGCGTGCTGAGTCACTGCAGCGGTGCTTGTTTGGCCCTGTTAGCTAGCCCCTCTCCTCACATGGCAGTTCTTAAACATACCAACAAATGGTATTGAACAGCAAAAGTTGTGTATGATACGTGGGATATAATTATTAACGGTGTCCCTACTAACAAAGGGCAGTTATCATCCCTTCAGCAGTTGGTACTTTCTCTGCTGGATCAAAATAGCTTTTACTTCTGAAACCCAAGGGGAAAAAGACCAGGACTTTAGCGTGTTGCATGGTCAGTGTGCCCCAGCCAGGACATGCAATAGAGAGGGTGGCATCAGCAGTGGGCTATTGTTTCGGCATATTGAGAAAGGAGATTGTGACCCAGGAAGCTGAGTCATAGTAGTATTGTAGACAGTGAGAGTCTGTTATGGAAAATTCCAGGGCTAAGTTGTTGGAGCAAAAGTGGAAGGAAATACTGTCTGGTTTCTGAACAGTTTTGTCTCCTTCCCCATTATTATGAATTACTTATTGTTTGTAATTTATGTTTGTAGAGGACATCGTTTTCAGAACAGCAGAGGCTACCCAGCTCCCCCCTCAGGTTCTGGCTGAGGAAGTGATCTGCCTGGACAGTACCAGCAGTGGCAGTGAAGATGATGCTAAAGGAAAAAATAGCATTAAAGATGGTAAGTGACTAATTGCCTGAGCATGGTCTTCTCACAATATGCTGTTTGTTGAGCCACAAGCTTCCTGTTTTCATCTAGTCAGATGCTCCAGTAGTGAATAACTTCAGATTTTCATAGACCTATTGGTTTCCAAATATATGGCCAGTTCTGACCTTTGAGTCCTAAACTGACATTTATAACCTGGCCTATCAGATGCTCCTGCAAACTACTGTTTATTTCTGCTTTATAAATGCACTTAAATTTGCTCAGTGCTCTGCTGAAGAATGCTTACGTGAGATGTGGCATCATCTCTCGTGTATAAAAGGAGCATCCGAGTATTCAGGTCTGTAACTGAAAGTGGGTTTTGTGTCCCTTGTCCCAAATGGATCTAACCTGACTCCTTTATACCACTCTGGTAGGGTACTTCTACCTGATTTCCTTAGTGGTCCTTAGACATTGTATCAACACATAAAATGCATGTCTGGGTTTGGGAATTAAGAGGACATATGGAGGAGAACATAAAACTTACAGAAATTGTCTCATGTTCTGTTTGGATCAGCCCAAATTAATGTTCTCTGAAAGATGGGGAAACTCAGGGAAATTTATGCTTTTATATCCTGGTCTGAGGGGCTTGATGTGTGCCTGTGTTGTGTCTGCTTGTTCAGAATAGCTCATTAGGCCAGTGTGGAATTGCAAAATGGGGTAGCCTTATTTTCCTAATATGATTTTTTTTTTTTTTTTCTCCATACATGATAAACCCTGACTTCAAGTTAACCTTTGCCCTTATTCTCTCCTGTTTTGGTTACTTTACAGAAGTGATTGAGCTGAGTTCAGGAGAGGATGATGCCCTCCAAATTGTGGACAGCAGTGACTCTAGTAATGAAGGGGAGGATGATGGCAGTGAAGAGAGCAGTGGCTCTCATGTGAATGATGCCTTAAATCAGTCAGATGCTCTGGGGCAAGTCATTGTCAACATCAATCATCCACCAAATGAGGACGACATTTTCCTGGCTCCCCAGCTTGCACACGCAGTAAAACCTCATCAGGTAGGCTTTATTAGCCTTGAAAATGCAATGAATTCAGGCAAGCCTGCCTTGTAATCTCAGCAGAACTTTGGTGAGCTCTGTGACCAGTCTGGTTGCGGTAGTGGCTGTTGTGGACAGTCAAATGATAAGGACAAATTAAAGGAAGGCCAGAGCTATGTATAACTTTGGCTGCTGTTATCTTCAGACCTTTGTACATTTAGATGAATGTTTTAAAAATGACGTTATGTTTATAAACAAACTAATCAACCCCAATTCAGATCCTCTGGCTACAAATGGATTTTGATTTATATTCCCAGGAAGTTTTATGAGTATCTAAAAATATTGACTTTCTGAGCCTTCCCTAGATTACTGTAGTGAACTTGAAACATACCCTTTGTATTTTCATGGTTTATGCAATCCCAATGTGCTTGTCACTCTGTAAATACATACCCATCTTGGGGTTTTTTTCCTCCCACCATTCTAATACCTTTTCTACTTTTCTGTCTAGATTGGTGGGATCCGATTCCTGTATGACAACTTGGTCGAGTCCTTGGAGAGATTTAAAACCAGCAGTGGGTTTGGGTGTATTTTAGCACATAGCATGGGCCTGGGCAAGACCATACAGGTCATCTCTTTCTTGGATGTACTTTTTCGGCACACGGAGGCAAAGACTGTTCTTGCCATTGTACCTGTAAGTAGCCCACGTGAAGGGCTGGCTGAGGGGCTTCCTTGCACTACTTCTTTCTTTGCGTAGAGAAGATTGATTGGTGTCCCATCTCATGTCAAGCTCTATCATACCCTTGCTGCTTTTCTTCCTCTCTCATTCCCTGTGTCCCTGAGTTTGCATGCTGTGATCTGCTCCTTCTGTCTGGGCACAGCTGGGTGTCATTCCCAGGGTCTCTTTTCTGCTCTTAAAATCCCAAGTGACTCAACTGGGTTTTTAATCCTTCCATGGCTTTTTTCAGGTGAATACGCTCCAAAATTGGCTAGCAGAATTCAACATGTGGCTCCCAGCACCTGAAAACCTTCCTGCTGATTATAACTCCAAAGAGATCCAGCCCCGCACCTTCAAAGTCCACATCCTGAATGATGAACACAAGTAGGTGCCAGTAAAAGCCCTTTTGAGCTCTTGGACTGTATCTTATGGAGCTGTTATCAGAATTGCTGTTGCAGACTGTTTAACTTGGGCTAACTCTGTGCCCTCAACTCCCAAATCTTCCCCGTTCTGCATTTGTTGTAGATGGTGTCTTGAGGCGAGGGTTTTAGTACCTAGGAGAGATTTACTGTCTCTTTCATTCGATATTTATATCTTGTGTGTACTTCTCACACTGCTGATGCACCTTTCTGTTTTTCCATGTATGCTGAGATCAGGAGCCCAGTTCCAGAGACAGAGCTACTTCTGCGGAGAGAAGTGCTATGGTTTGTTTCTGGTGGTACACTGCTAGTCCTGTCAGAGTCCTGGGATTCCTGAGGCATGTGCTCCCTGTACCACGTGTCTCTTGTGTTTTAAATGTGGGTTGGTTGTTTTTTTCCTGAGATTTTTCACACACTTAGGGATTCCTCTACCCGACACTGTGACTTTCTGTGAGTTGTGTTGTCCTTGAGGGATTCTGGCAAGTTATGCAAAGCCTCCTTGTCCAGAAAGGGGAGATCAGTGATTGTAGTTACAGCCTGGTGTGGAGTGTATTCTTGGCTTGTGGATCTCTGCTTCTTTCTGGGTTGTTTCTCTTGCATGGATGTTGTGGTTTAACCCCAGCCAGCAACTAAGCGCCACAGAGCCGCTTGTTCACTCCCCGCCTCGGCAGTGTGGGGCAGAGAATCAGAAGAGTAAAAGTGCGAAAACTGCTGGGTTGATGTAAAGGCAGTTTAATAGGTAAATCAGAAGCCATACACACAAGCAAAGTAAAACAAGGAATTCATTCCCCACTTCCTGTTGGCTGGCAGGTGTTCAGCCATCTCCAGAAAAGCAGTGCTCTATCATGCATAATGGTAACTTCAGAGTGATGGTGTTCGTCTTCCCAACATCCCCCCTGCCTCTTTCCTCCTTCTCCCCCCCAGCTTTATATGCTGAGCATAATATCATATGGTCTGGAATATCCCTTGGGACAGTTGGGGTCAACTGTCCCAGCTGTGTCCCCTCCCAACTCCTTGTGCACCCCCAGCCTACTCGCTGGTGTAGTGGGGTGAGCAGCAGAAAAGGCCTTGGCTCTGTGTAAGCCCTGCTCAGCAGTAACGAAAACACCCTTGTGTTATCAACACTGTTTTCAGCCCAAATCCAAAACACAGCCCCCTGCTAGATATTATGAAGAAAATTAACTCTATCCCAGCCAAAACCAGAACAATGGATCAGGACAGCGTAGTGATCACATGTAGTGAGTAGATGTAGCTAGCACATCAGCTGTGTTCATACACTTACCTGTTGAGGTCTTCACCTCCTGGCTGTAATGTACTTTGAATCTGCTGATGCTACTCTAGCCATGTGCTTACTATTGGAAGGGATCTTGTGTGCTCTGGGAGGATTGAGTGAGGACAGTGTCTTGATCTGAACCAGTTCTGAGCAGGCTAGCAGGGAAAGAATAATTGAGGGACACTATCATTGGAAGAGACAACAAGGAATAAACGACTAGATGATTACAACCATGTACATTAGCGGCTCGTTCTGACAACGGTTTTTTGCAGAGGCAGTCTCCTGAACAGCTGTTTAAAAAGACTGCTCTCAAGTTTGATATGCTTTTGTACATGACAAACTTCTACAGCTCGGTTCCTGTAAGGATTTGTCATTCTCAACCCTGCTACTCATGGCACATAAAAGACTTTTTTCTTTTCCTCTGTACCAGACTGTCTCCTAAAGAAACTTCATTGTATTCCTCTGTCTAGTTTGATGTGAGAAAGTGCTTTAATTAATCGAATGGGTCTTTTTCCTCAGCAGACTCCAATTCCAGTGATTCAAACTGAAATGGGAGAGAAAGCTTACAGTTTGTTTGTTTTGTTTGTTCGTTTTGCAGGACAACAGCTGCACGTGCAAAGGTGGTGAATGACTGGGTGATAGAGGGTGGTGTGCTGCTGATGGGATATGAGATGTACCGTCTCCTCTCACTGAAGAAGTCCTTTGCCACTGGCAGGAAGAAGAAAACAAAGAAACAAGCTGGCCCTGTCATTATTGACTTGGATGAGGAAGACCGGCAGCAAGAGCTTCTTAAAGGTGGGCGGCCAATGTGTGATCCTGTTGTCCAGCTGGCTATCAACTCTGGCAGCACAGGGAAACAACCTATAACTTGCTTTTAGCATCCCTGACATGATCAAACTTGCTGGATAGGATTGTGCCTTTGGAGACAGAAGGTTGTTGAGCTTTGATTGAGTCTTTCATTTCTTGCAATAGCTGCAAAGCAAGCATGGAAGTCAGTCCACCAAACTTGGAGATTTGTCTGTGTGAGATTTGCCAGTCTGATCTGATGCAAGACACCCAACTTGATGCAATGCAGGTCATTGAGCAGAAATCAAGGGACAGCCATGTCTGGTCGTTACCACATTATGCTAAATCAGAGCTAGTGTCTAGTCACATTTTATTTCCTGAATCAGCCTTGCTCTCTGCCACCCATAAATACTGCTTTTTTTGTCTTTCAGAACTGCATCTCTTTTTGTGAAGTTGGTGACCATATAAAACCAGAACTTTGTCTTATTCATCTCTAACTAACACTTAATGTTCCTTGTCCTCAGGGATTGAGAAAGCTTTGTCTCGCCCTGGCCCAGATGTGGTTATTTGTGATGAGGGACACCGGATAAAGAACTGCCATGCCAGCACTTCGCAGGCCCTGAAGAACATCCGCTCCCGTCGGCGGGTGGTGCTGACTGGCTACCCGCTCCAGAACAACCTCATTGAGTACTGGTGCATGGTAGACTTTGTCCGACCTGACTTTCTAGGCTCACGGCAGGAATTCAGCAACATGTTTGAGCGCCCTATCCTGAACGGGCAGTGTATTGACAGCACCCCTCAAGATGTCCGTCTCATGAGGTATCGCAGTCATGTCCTGCATAGCCTGCTGGAAGGCTTTGTGCAGCGGTGAGTCCACAAAGAGTTCTTAATGGTGTAGTCCATGGAAACATCTCCTTCATCCCAAATTAGCCTGCTAGTTTGCTGAGTTTACGAAGTACAGCTAATCATGCCGCCTTATAGAATCCTAGAATCATTTAGGTTGGAAAAGACCCTTAAGATTATAGAGTGCCACCGTTAACCCAGCACTGCCAAGTCCACCACTAAACCATGTCCCCAAGTGCCAAAGCTACACATCTTTTAAATACCTCTAGGGATGGTGACTCAACCACTTCCCTGGGCAGCCTGTTCCAATGCTTGATAACTCTTTTGGTAGAGAGATTTTTCCTAATATCCAATCTAAACCTCCCCTGGTGCAACTTGAGGCCATTTCCTCTTGTCCTATTGCTTGTTACTTGGGAGAAGAGACCCACGCCCACCTGGCTACAACCTCCTTTCAGGTAGCTGTAGAGAGCAGTCAGGTCTCCCCTCAGCCTCCTTTTCTCCAGGCTAAACAACCCCAGTTCCCTAGGCTGCTCCTCCTCAGACTTGTGCTCTAGACCCTTCACCAGCTTCGTTGCCCTTCCAGCACTTCAATGTCTTGTAGTGAGGGGCCCAAAACTGAACACAGTACTCGAGGTGCAGCCTCACCAGTGCCGAGTACAGGGGGACGATCACTGCCCTAGTCCTGCTAGCCATGCTATTTCTGATACAAGCCAGGACGCTGTTGGCCTTCTCGGCCGCCCGGGCACATGGCTGGCTCATGTTCAGCTGGCTGTTGACCAACACCCCCAGGTCCTTTTCTGCTGGGCCGCTTTCCAGCCACTCTGCCCCAGGCCTGTAGCATTGCCTGGGGTTGTTGTGACCCAAGTGCAAGACCCAGCACTGAGCCTTTTTGAACCTTATATGTTTGGCCTCAGCCCATTGATAGAGCTCCTTAGGCTTCAGTTTTAAACAGGTACCTTATCTGTCTTTGTGGGAGGATCTTAAGCATACAGAGAAAACCACAGAAGAGATTCTTAGGTTAGCAGCTCCATATTTCTCTCCAAATCTCTGTCTTGTTCAATCTGTCAACTGCAAAGTGGCCCTTATGGCTCTGTTTTGCCTTGGGGGTAGAAGTAAAGTTGGTTTGCTTTGGTATCACAGACTCTGATAATGGAGAACAACACCTCTAACTGCACCAGAGTGACCTCAGGTTTATTTTGATGTCTTAATAGTTAATTTGGATGTGCACTTTCTGGCATCCTCTCTACCCAAGGATCTGAAAGTGTTTCACAAACCCTCAGTTATGAAAAGTGACAATGTCTCCACCACTCTGGAAACAAATCAGCTTTGTTTCTCAGATGAGGCTTCTAAGATGCTGGACCAGTGATTTGGATGGAATGTCTTAGTCATTGGCAGAGCTAAAAAGAGACCTTAGGTCTTATTTCTGTTTTTCAACTGCCATGGAAAACAGGACTTTCATCACCCTGTGACCTGTGCTAGAAGATTGTAACATTTGCGATCTCTGTAATTGTGCTTACAGTTGATATTTGGCTGCAGGGAGTGTATCTTGGAAGTGTCATGCGTTAGAGAAGCATGCAACTAGTGGTCTTTTTCCCTGCAGCCAGGTGGGCAAGAAGTCAAAATCTTACCCTACAGGCAGCCAGTCACAGAGAGATCAGATTGGGAAATCTGTTCCCTCTATTTATCTCTCTTTATTTCCTCCACAGGCGAGGCCACAATGTCCTGAAGGTTCAGCTTCCATCTAAGGAAGAACACGTCATTTTGGTACGTCTTTCGAAGATCCAGCGGGCCCTTTATACGGAGTTCATGAATCGGTTTCGAGATGCAGGCAACAGTGGCTGGCTGGGACTGAACCCACTCAAAGCTTTCTGTGTCTGTTGTAAGGTAGGTTTTGGCAGGAGCTGCAAAGAAATATTCTAATATGTAAGGGAAAGGCAGGAATATGAGTGAAATCAGAAGATAAAAATGTGGTTGGCCAGGTGCATCTTCTGTCCCCAGAATGCCTGGCAATGGCCCAGCAGAATTGTTATCCCCACTTTCAGATGGAGTGCAGGGATGTTAAATGTCTTGTTCAAATTTGTACAAGAAACCTGCAGCCATCAGCTGAACCGGGCTGATCCATTAACCGTTTACCTGCTGCAATGCAAACAAGCAGCTTCCTCTGCATTTGCTGCGTGGGGTGCGTAGTGGCCTTCTGTTTTGTTCTCAAGGAAAAAAACTTGGCAGTTTTAAAGTCAGGAGAGCCTTGGTTAGGGTGGCTGATACCTTGTGTCACGGCAGAGTCATGTTTTCTGTTTTCACTACCTTAATGCAGTCAGACTGGCTTGCTCTGCAGCGCCTTAGAGTTCCACGTGGGGATGGTGATGAGGTGATTGAAGTATTAGTTCTTTCCTTTGAGTAGTTGTGGGGCCTTTCAGTCCACAGCCATTAGCAAGCAACAGGCCAGCACAGGCCTAACGACTTTCTTTTCTTACCTCTTCAGATCTGGAACCATCCGGATGTGTTGTATGAAGCTCTGCAAAAGGAAAATCTAGCAAATGAGCAGGATTTGGATGTGGATGACCTTGGCACAGCAAGTACTAATTCCCGCTGCCAGTCTCAGGGAATTAAAGTGAAAACAGAGAGTAATGCTTTGGCACCGCCAGTTGGAGAAGCTACCAACAGCAAGTTCCTCCAGAGCGTTGGCTTCAACCCTTTTCAGGAGAGAGCAAATCAGGTCGTTACTTATGAGTGGGTGAGTACCACTGCTGGAAAACTTCATTTGGAGAGTTATGATAAACATAGGCTAGGTACTTACTCTCAAAGACTGTACCTCTTTTTGTTGGGGCAGTTTTCTGAACTAGAGCAAAGAAAAGACTCTTAAACAGAAGAGTTGGGGTTTTCTCTTACATTTTCTTTACCACAAAGCATCTTGATAAGCATGTCTGCATGGTGCTAGGTTGGGGTTTTGGGACTCTTGTGAGGCAGGAGTGCTGGCAGCACTCTTTTACCCCTTTTTTTTTTTTTTTTTTTTCATCTGACCAAAAAGGCTGTGGACTTTGTTATTCTAAAAAAAGGTGTTAGGGTGAAGTTTAATCTAGGTAAGATGGTGGTAAATCTAGTGGGCTGGAGGAGAGGTCTTGAGATAGTCATGAGAGGTTTAGAGGATACTCATTCATCCATACACCAATAAATCTGTCATTTGTAACTTCTGGAATGGGAGGTAGCAGCAGTATTTGGGAGTAATGTTGTCACCTCGACCTGGCTGGATGTATACAACTTTTCTGCAATGACTTATTCCTCTCACCTTGAGACAGGATTGTTGAACTAAACAGGGAATGAGCAACTCCACCTGTAATAGTCTCCTGTTTCTCGGTAGGCCAAAGACATCTTGTGTGATTACCAGACGGGAGTCTTGGAGAACTCACCCAAGATGGTGTTACTGTTCCACCTAATTGAGGAAAGTGTGAAGCTTGGAGACAAGATCTTGGTCTTCAGGTAAGTGAAGTATTAACAGCTGGTCCTACAATCGCTAAATGCTGGAGTAGTTGGACCCCTCCTGGTTCTTAGGAGGTTGTTACATGGATTGAATGGCATGGCAGTTCCCCTTTTCTCCTTTGTTGTATTATAGCCTGGTTTTCCTCCATGGATTTTATACTTCTGCTGCTATCGAGTTTACTAGTGGGAGGTGTGCTGCCACAAACAGGGTTTGACAGCTGTCAATGCTGTCGTGGTTGGGGAAGAGTTCTGATACTCCACTTTTGCAGCTGTGGGGGCTTTCTCCTGAACAGAGATCTTGGTTTTGCAGCCAGAGCTTGTCCACCTTATCTGTCATTGAAGAGTTTTTGGCAAAGAGACCAATGCCGAGTCCTCCAGGCTCAGATGGAGGGGTTCACAACTGGGTCCGAAACATCAACTATCACAGTGAGTGCAGCCAATCCTCCTCTCTTCTGGTGTGACACTGTTTGATCCTCTGTGACAGACTAATTCCTGAAAGTCACCCACCATCTTCTTGTAGTTGTCCCTGGGTGTAAAAATGCTCTTCTGAAGCATTCTTCTGATGAAGAGTCTTTCCAATTGTTCTTACTTTAGTTGCTTGGGAAGACAATGTCAGTTTGACAGCAACTAACTGATAATTTCTAAATCCTGGTTTTGATATCTTACTCAGAAGAAGTTAGACATCTTTAACATCTCACTTATGCACTAGTGCTTTTTTAAGTTGTAAAAAATACTTTTTGCTTTTTCTTTGGCTATTTTCTAGATCTTACTTCCCAAACCAGAATCACTGTGGAATGCTTTCACTAGCTTGTGGCTGTGAATTCCTCCTCCCGTCTTCCCCAGCTTTAAATCTTGTTCTGGCATGGGTTGTTGCTTTGTGTGGCTACTTCACAGGCCAGAACTGAGAGGAGTGGTGGATATGGTGTTCCTGATTTTTGCAGAGCTGCCAGAAGCAAGGTGCTGCCCAGGAACAGACACATGATACCCCCCTGCACTCCTTTAGACCAGTACTCTCTGTCCTCAGATCCAGTCTATGGGTTTTGCCAACGGCTTTCACAATTCTGCTTTCTCTTGGTTCCTCAAGCTTCCAGCATACGTGAGGCCTTTGTGCCTGCTGCTCTTGCTTGCTTCTAGCTTGCCTAATACAGAGCTTTAATGTGTGCTGGGAGTGCTTTAATTTTGTAGCACTCCCTGTCTTGGCCTTGCCAAGCTCAAGTAATGTTTTGCTTGGTCTTTCAGTTGAACAAATCCTAACCTGGCTGGCTGCATTGCACCTGCCTGGCTGGGCAAATTAGACATATGGAGAGGAGGTCCTAGAGTGCATGACTTGAGGAAGACCTAGAATTGGTTGGGAACCAGTGCCAGAGCTCAGTGTTTGGGAAGTGGGTTTGTTCTGATGGGATTCCCCCAAACATACAGAGCTTTTAAACATGTCCTTAATTTCCTTCTCAGGACTGGATGGCAGCACCTCTGCCTCAGAGAGGGAACGACTGATTAACCAGTTCAACGACCCCAGCAACACCTCTGTTTGGCTCTTCCTTTTGTCCACGCGGTAAGTTGGCTGGAGCAGAAGGGCGCAGTGCAGGACTCATGCTGACGCTCTGCATGCCTATGGGTTTTCAGTTCTTAAAATTCTTTCACAGTGTGCTTTCAAGATTCTATGGGATGATAGTGCCATCTGCTTCTGAATTCCCCAGAGGAGCAGGATTTTAGCCTTAGCCCTCAGCAACAACTTAACAATAGTCTTGGAAACCAAACATGAGTTTGAAGTTGCCTGAGGGAACTTTTCGTAGACACCTCATGGACTCTTGGCTGTGATGTCTGTCCCTGACTAGAAACTTTGAAAATTAACCAAGGCAGCAATTTGAATTTTGCCTTTAATTTCCAGCGCTGGATGTTTGGGTGTCAACCTCATTGGAGCAAACAGAGTGGTGGTGTTTGATGCTTCTTGGAACCCGTGCCATGACGCCCAGGCCGTGTGCCGAGTGTACCGCTACGGGCAGAAGAAGCCATGCCACATTTACAGACTGGTTTCTGATTACACCCTTGAGAAGAAGATCTATGACCGTCAGATCTCTAAGCAGGGCATGTCAGGTAAGTGTGAATATTGGTGCTCCACTCTTGGCTTTCGCTCCTTTTGGCTCCTTCAAGTCCTCTTTCTGTGGGGTTTGTAACTATTTTTTTTAAGGTTGAAAATGAAACAGCCAAAGTAGTGACAAGACACGTTATCTTAGGGCTATGTTTGATATTTTTGAGTTGATGGTGACATGAGACCCTGTAAGAAATGCAGGGCAGAGCAGTAAGGGTTGTAGAGCTAGCATCCTGCAGCAGGGTTGTGCTACCAGTTCAATGCACAGCCATTTATCTTCCTTGCTACTCTCCTGGTTACTATAATAGACTAGGGGTGTGGGGAGTGCTCATCCTGTTTTCCCCTGTGCCTGAGTGTTACTTGTCTTAAACTGGGCATTACTTATTAAATAGCTCTGTACCTACATTTCTCCAGCAGCAAGAGAGGGAAAATAGCCAAATTTATATATATGTGTGTATATATAGAGAGAGATACCTTTGACAGTGCTTACTTAAGAGCCCAGAATAATGAATTCATTCTGGTTCTGACCTGCCCTTGTACCAAAAGTATCTTTTGTGCTGGCTTGTGCCAGCTGTCAAGCTGGTCTTGTACAACAGGCAGCTGAGGGTTGTGGTGACCCAAAAAGAGTTCTGCTGCCTGTGTCCTCCTTTGTCTTGAAGCCCAATTCCAGAGGCAGCAGCCCAGCATGATTGGCTCAGTATGCTCTTACACTCGAGATGGAGTCCCCTGGCAGCTGGCCTGGCTCCCAGGAGAGTCCTGGCTGTAGATGTTTTCTCCGTGTGCTCCCATTTGCCCTGTGTGCGGGAAGGAACATCCAAGGAGAACTTTTGGGCTCTTGTGAGAGGGAGTGTGGCTGCTTTTCTGACTCAACAGAGTTCTGTTAATTTCAGCACCTCGTTATTAACTTGACCCTTTTTGGTGGGATTTGTGGGAGGGCAGGTACTTATGTGGCTGCAGTTCTGTCCCAGGGCTTGTATGTTTTCAGCCTTGCGATGTGAGATGGAACACCATCTGTAATTAGCTTCCTGTTCCTACATGCCAGGAGCTCTGTGACCTGCACTGCATTGCTGTGCAGTCTGGAGCACAAGGCACTTGTCAGCCTGACTTGGTCAAACAGGCTCATCTCTGATGTGGCTGATGATTTTTCTCCGTGCCCTGACATTTACAGAAGGCTCCTGAGGATTGTGCAGATTGCAAGGAGGGAGCTCTATTAGGACAGGAGTGTAGGAAGGGCAGCAGGCAGCAGTACCTCTCTCTTCCCTTCTCTGCTCACTTCATTTCCTCTCTTTTCCAGATCGGGTGGTGGATAATCTGAACCCAGTGCTGAACTTCACCCGACGGGAGGTGGAGAACCTGCTGCATTTTGTGGAAGAGGAATCCGACCCTGCTCAGCTTTCCCTCAATCCAAGCAAGATGAAGGAGTCTGTTCTACAATTAGCCTGTCTCAAGTATCCTCACCTCATCACCAAGGTAAGACCAACCTGCTTCCTTGCTAGCAAAACACCGCACAGGCAGGAGGAGGTCTGGAGGAGTCTGACTGTGTGACAGGAGCATGGTGGCAGGAAGGACACATCTGTGTGCTGGCGGGAATAGATAGACAGTCCTCTAGAGAGGGCCCTAAGAGCCCTGCCCTTCCCTACAACACCTTCTCCACATTTAAAGCCATATCTGTCCTGGACAGATTTGGGGGCAGGTTGTACCTGCACCCCTTCCTTCAACTTGGTGCTGGGCGGGAAGGTGGCAGTGGTATATCCCAGCTCACTGCCAACTGTCTTCCTGGGGTGGCTTTAACACGAAGCTGGGACAGCTAGTGCTTGCCTGTGTTGTGAAGTGTTTCACTGGTGGGGTGGTGCTGCAGAGTGGGCCTGTGGTCGGGTGCCACACACGCTTCGCCATGACCAGCTCTGCCTCCCAACTCCCCTCTTCCCTGCTCCAGCCCAGGATGGAGACAGTGCTGATGCAGGGACCAGGTTGCTGCCATTTGGGGCATGTTGGTTCCCTCTTGCGGTATGTTGATGTCAAAACCTCAGTGCTGTGGGGTTGCAGGAGCCTTTTCAGCATGAGTCACTGCTGATCGACCGGAAGGAGCACAAGCTGACCAAGGCAGAGAAGAAAGCAGCCAAGAAGAGCTATGAGGAGGAAAAGCGCGCATCCGTCCCCTACACCCGGCCGTCCTACGCACAGTATTACCCAGCCAGTGACCAGAGCCTGACGAGCATCCCTGCCTTTAGCCAGAGGAACTGGTGAGTATCTGCCTCTTCCCCTTCTTCCCAGGCTGTAGACATGAAATGAGGGAGCAGAGGACGCTTAGCCCTGTCAGTGGGGGCACTGCACTTTCTTCCCTCCTCTCCCACTAGGCGACCAGCCCTCAAGGGTGAGGACAAGCCAGTGGCAAGCGTCCGCCCAGTTCAATCCACCCCCATTCCTATGATGCCCCGGCATGTCCCCATGGGCAATGCAGGATCAACCTCAAGTTCCAACCCCGCTGTCAACTTCCCCATCAACTATCTACAACGAGCTGGTGTCTTTGTGCAGAAGATTGTCACCACCACAGGTGAGTTGCTGATACTCACAGTGAGTTGAATTATGATAGCCACGGTGAACTGAGGAGCAGGGTGAGTTGTTGATGCCCACATAGGCTGTGGGCAGATGGGCATTCGAGCCACTGATACTGCCTCTACATTTGAGCAGTTCCCTTGTACCTGGAGGACTTTGCCTGCAAGGGACATGGGCCTGGCAGGTTGTTGGGAGTGAGCTCCCTGTGAGTGGGCCTGCAATACTGTTGCCAGTTGTCTCTTCTGGGATAGGGGAGGTGCTGTGCCAGAGCTGTGTGGCTTTTGCTTCCTCAGAGCCTCTGCTGCCTTCCTATGCTGCTCAGAAATAAACTCAGGGCTGGCTTCTAGCACAGCACATATGAGAGACAACTGCACTGCAAGCAAAGGGGTTAGGTGTTGCACCTCCCCATTCCTGACTGTGGCTGGCATGTAATTTCACGTGCACTGTTCTGTTTTTCCCCAACTCCCAGATATTGTGATTCCGGGTACAAACACATCCACTGATGTACAGGCAAGAATCAGTGCTGGTGAGAGCATCCACATCATCCGAGGGACGAAAGGTAAGTCTGTCTGTCTTGGTAAGACTTGTGGATAGGGTCCTAGCCAATGCTAATGAGCAAAGAAAAGGATGTAAAAGCATGAATCTGTCCCTTGAGAGGAAAAGAGACAAGAAGGGGAGGAGTTCTGGACTCTGCAGTGACTCTGTTGCAGCCAACGCTTTGGGTGTGCTGTTGTAGCTGACGTTTCAGGGCTGTTGGAGCTGTGGCTGCTGCTGCCTCTGAGAGGAGCTGTTGAACTTTGTGGCTGGGTGTCTCGTTCTCACAAAGCCCACTGCATTGGGGCACCCAAACACTTCCCGGTGTTTGCTCCCAGAGCAAACTTAGTCCCAAGTATGGAGTTCCACATTTCCCACCGGCAGTACGTTGGGAAGTGGTGAGCTCCAACCCGGGAGAGCTGGAAGGGTGGAAATGAGGAGTGAGGAAGGGGGCAGAACCCCCCCCACTGATCTCCCTGCATGGTCTGTGGGCTGGCCTTATGCAGCACTGCTGTCCTGTTCCTGCCCAGACAGCCACACGGAATCATGGAAACCATGAATGAAGTTGTTCTGTCTCTGTTCCAGGGACGTATATCCGGACCAGCGATGGACGGATTTTTGCTATCCGGACCACTGGGAAGCCGAAGGGCAATGAAGACCGTCGGACAGCTGCCTCAGGTAGGGGCTTGTGAGCACTGTGTGAGGCTTGCTCGTGTGCTTTCCTACCCAAGTGTCTAGGGTGGTGTTCCCTGGCTGCCTTCCATCATGCCTGTGTTCAGAGCTGACCCCACAATCTTCCCATGATATCCCCGCCTTCCTTTCCACTGTTGCTTGTTGGCCCTCAGGTTTTTCTCCAAGGTTCTTTCTCACCTGCTCCATCTCCTTGTCTCCAGGCTCCCAGAGCTCATCACTGGAGTCCACAAGCAACGGCAGACACAGTGCCTCATCACCGCAGCTCCCCAGTGCGGAGGAGCTCACTCGGCCCATATCCCCCGACAGCCCCGAGATTATCAGCGAGCTGCAGCAGTACGCGGAGGCGGCAGCTGCCCGGGAGTCCCGGCACAGCTCTCCCAGCACCAACGCAGCGCAAGGCCACCCTGCTCGCACGGACAACGCGCCTGGCTTAGCAGCCCGAGGAGCTGAGCAGCGCGTGGGGATTCACTGCATGGCTCCCTCCGTGTCTTCAGCCCTGCCGGCCACCAGCCAGCAGTTCGATGGCCACTCAGTGTTGGACTTAAGGGGCAACAAGCGCAAGTCGACCTCACCATCGGCTCCGGAGGAGCAAGCCCGCAGGCAGCAGAAGAAGCGCCAGTTGCCATCATCCGTGCAGCCGTACGAACACGGGTACCCCGTCTCTGGTGGGTTCGCCATGCCTCCTGTCTCTTTAAACCACAACCTAACCCATCCATTTGCCTCCCAACCAGGAAACTCCTTGTACATGGGCACTGGCTCCTCTTATTACCAGCTGCCCAATTTACTCCCAGACCCTCATCTGGTGTTCCCTGTGACTACTGACCCTCTGCTGACAGCCGGCACCGCCAGCTCTTCTGCTGCTACCTCAGCCACCGCCAGCGTCCCCTCATTCATGCTAAACCCTTCTCTGACGGGGGTGCTACCCAATTACTCGCTTCCCTTCACGCAGTCACTCTTGCCCGAGCCCAGGATGTTTGCTCCTTTCCCAGCCCCCGTCTTGCCTAGCAGCCTTCCCAGGAGCATGGCATCTGCCTACCCTGGCTACATGTCCCCTCACTCGGGCTACCCGGCCGGGGGCCTCCTTCGGTCCCAGGTGCCTCAGTTTGAATCCCAGGAGGTCCCAGAGGTGGGATGCAGCTCTAATGACGAGGACAAAGACGACGATGTTATAGAGATCACAGGGAAATAAATGGGCCCAGCTCCTGCTCGGTCTCAGCTCCGCCAGGAGGCAAAAATTGCAGGACCTTTTTGGGAGTCAGGATTTCCCCTCTGGGCCACGGCAGTGGGTGGAGAAGGATGCGAAGGGTGTGGCGTGGGGGTTGTTTTGTTCTTTTCGTTTTGTTTTGTTGTTTTTTAGCTGTCAAGGTCTGAATTGTATTAGGGGTTGGGAGATGGGAGGGGGATAGAGTGGACCTGCGAGGGCTGGGGGAGCAAGAGCCAGGGGAGGAGGGAAGCAGCAATGCAAACCATAGGAGTGCCTCCCTCCCACGCTCTGTCTGTCTGTCTGTCTCTGTTCTCTGTCTTGTCTGGAAGGGGGAGATTTGGTGTTGCAAGTCACTGCCCTTCTCAGGCCTGGAGGCACGGGCTTGACCGCTGGCAGGGCCGAGCTCCCTCTCACACGAACTGCCTTATCTGTGAACTTCTCTCACTCCGGGAGGTGTGGGCCGGGGGGGGGTGGGCCGACTCCAACAGAGGTTGGAGACAAAGCGTTTTTACTGGGGAGGGAGCGGGGGGGCTTCTATGTCGTGTGTGTTGGGGCAGGGGGGGATTGATGGACAAAACAAAAAAAAAGAAGAAAAAAAGAAAAAAAACCCCAACCCATCCCACAAACAATTTGTCATCCTCTTCAAATTCACGTGAAACTAGTGTGAGGGCTCCAGGCGGGCTCCTGCCGCAGCGAGGAGGGCAGGGCTCTGGTGGGGGGCTCCCCCGGTCCCTTCGGGAGGGTCCCGTCCAAGGTAGGTTGGTCCTGTGCTTCTGATGCCAGCTCTGTGTGCCAGATGAGTGAAGCAATCCCAGACGTCTTGGTGGCTGTAGGAGGGGAATCCTGGTGACTTCCCCAGCTCCACGGCCCTGCCAGGCTGTGTGAAGGCCGTGTCTCGCCCTGCCGTGGCCCACCACATCTGGAGGTGGGTGGGCTCACTGCTGCTTCTCCGCTGCACCAGGCAGTGGAGAAGATTGGGAGGGAACACTAGACCCAGTGCCTGTTGCTGTTGAACCTGTGATTGGAGCGACTTCCCCCTGCACAGAATCTCTACATTAATTTATTTCATGAAGACGTAATATTTATTGTTTGGGGCACTCTTTCTTTCTACTTTTAAATTAATTGCCATATTGAAAAAAAATAAAATGCTGGCCTCTATCATGCAGTGGTTGCTTGTTGGGTTGTCTGTGTGGGGAGAAGCAGCCGGTTGACCAAAGCATAGCCTAGAAGCAGGGCCAGCTTGCCTGTAGCTGTGACTCGTGTTGTGTTGGCTGGATGTGCCCCATCAGGAGATCATGCCAGAGCAGGGAGGTGCTGCTCCGGGTGTTCTGCACCAGCCAGAGGGAGGATGGAGTCATAGAATGGTTTGGGTTGGAAGGGACCTTAAAGCCCATCTAGTTCTAACCCCTCTGCTGCGGGCAGGGACACCCTCCACTAGACCACGTTGCCCAAAGCCTCATCCAACCTGGCCTTGAACACTTCCTCGTCGAGAGTAGCACGTGTTGGGAGGCCGGAGCATGAGCAGATCCTTACCGGAGTCCTCTTGTCGTGTTGGGGCAGGTGGAGGAGCATGTGTGGAAGTCTGCTGTGCTCATTCCCAGTGAGGAGGAGGAGGGCTGCGAGGCATGCGGAGTTGGGAAGGCAGAGCTCCTGCCGGGGAAGCGCCTGTCCCCACGCAGGGAGCGGCACTCAGCCCAGCCCCGCTCTGCCCCACGCGTGTGCAGAGGCTGGCCCTGGCCCCCCCAGCAAACGCGCGGGCTGCTCGCCTCGGTGCCAGGGCTCCTAAGGAGAGGCTGGGCTTAGTGTGTGTGACTGAATTGTGCGAATGTGTTAGGGTGAAGACTTGAAATCTGGGAATCTCCGTGTCACATCTGGATGTCACCAGCCAGATGTGCTCTGGAGCATGGCCAGGACCTCGGAGCAGTGGTAGCTGGTAGGGGACCTCTCAGGCCATGGAAGCTGCAGTCGCTGGTGTTTGCTGGGACCAACTAAGTGTAGGAAAGGGCAGGATGTCCTCACATCCTCCATCGAAGGGGCACTGGAAGATGGGGACCTTCTTTCCTGAGAGAGAGAGAGAGGGGTGTGTGTGCACGTGTGTGTTACAAAAACATAATAAAAAATGTTACGGGGCTTTCCTAGTGTCTTTCTCTGTTTAATGGACATTGTCTGTCAAACATAATCACACCATTCATAGAAGCCTTAGATCAACAGTTTAGCTATGCAAATTATTTTAATTATTTTTTTTTAAAAAACAAACATTAAAATAGTGCTTTCTTCTTTAACATATCCTAGGAGTTGAAAACCGAGGGGTTCTGAGCAAACTGCTGGACAACTTGTCTTTGGATGCACCATGGAAATAAAAATCAAACCCCCCCACAAAAGTAACAAAGCAAATTAACTGATGGTGTTCATGCAAGTTTCTCCAAAGACTTGACAGTGCTGCATCTGTGAGTCATGCCCTCCTGTGCTCTGTGTGTCCACCTCATGCACAACCCTGTGACACTGATTGTATGACGAGCTTGCCCAGATGTCCGTTGCATCCCTGTGAGGCTGTCAGTTTTCCGGTGGATTTGGGGAATGGACCTAGGCAAGGGCTTTCCTTGTCGAGAGTAGCAAGTGTTGAGACCCGCGGGCACGTGTGGGAGGCCGGAGCGTGAGCAGAGCCTCACCAGAGCCCCGCCGTGGCACCGGTCCTCGCTCGTGGTGGTCAGGGTAGTGGGGTTCATCCAAGGGACCCTCCGGAGTCCTCTCTGAGCTGGGTTTTTCTGTGGCTCTGTGCCGAGACGAGGCGTGAAGATTCGGCTGGAGGCAGTTGGCACCGCAGCTCTGGATATGGTGCCTGTAACTGCACGCCATTTTCTCTGCTCCTTGCCTCTCCAGGAGAGCACCCGGGGCTTCCTGAGCAGGTCCTGGTGCAGTCCCAAGCTGCTGTCTGCTGTCCTCCCCAGGGTCCCCAGCATAGCCCATGCCCTGTGGCCACAGGGGCTGGAGGCGGCTGGTGCTCGGCCACCACAGGGCACGGGCTT